GACACAGGCCAGCTCCTGGAGGAGAACGGGCTGTTCCCCACCTCCGCCCAGGCCTGGCAGCGAGGAGGGGGGCTGGTCTTGCAGCAGGAGGCAGTGTGGCTGGAGGCAGTGTGACTCTTGCTAGAACCACCTAATTAAGAGGCCTGAGACGCTGGGACTGGGTGATTGAGGCAGGACCTTCAGATGGAAAGCTTGAGGGTTCTCCAGAAGGCCAGGCCCTCATCTGCGGGGGCTGGGCACAGGGCTCTGCTGACCGGGGCAAAGGAGGAATCAGGAGACACCAAGCTGAGACAACGAGAAACTGTCAGGGGCTGGGTTGTAACTGGCTGGGGTGGGGGGTTCTTACTGCTGTTATTTGAGCTCTAAACTCCACTGACCTGGATGGGGGTGGGGGAGAAAAGCCAGAGCCTGGGACGATATGATGACACTTCTTCCAGGTCCCAAGAGCAGTGTCTCCTTGGTTCTGGTGCATCGGGAGAGGCTGAAGCTAGACTCTGGGAAGGACGTTCTGATGTAGAAGTACGAGCTATGGAAGGCAGGACTGAGGGTGGGGGTGGACTCTGATCTGGAAAGATTTCCAGGGTGGAGAGCTGTCCCCTCTGTCCTCCTCCCACACCCTGCCATCGGCTGAGTCTTTTCCAGAGCAGGGGCGAGATGCTGTGAGCTTTAGGGAGCCCCGAGGCCCAGGCAGTGAGAGTAGAGAAAGGGCCAGGCCTCGTGAGAGCAGTCGCCTCCTCAGAGCACAGCGTCCCTGTCTCCCCGGCCAGGACGCTCTGGGACCTCCCCTTGTGACTCCAGGCTCTCTGCGGACATCTGACCCGCTGGGTCCTATCCACCTGGTCCCAACCCCAGCCGCTGCCTTCGGGCTGATCTGGAGTCCGCATGGTGTCTCCGCAGCGGGTGGGATTACGGTCCCTTGGTGGACAGGCCTGCAGCAGATGCCCCCAACCCATGGTGCCAGACATGGAAGGGAGCTGGGAGAAAGGGTGTGGCGCCCCCCACCCAGAGTCCACCTCCCCCACCCCTGGTACCCACGCCGGCCACTTCCTCAAAGGAGCTTCACTGGGTTACCCAGGTGGTGGCTTCTCCAGGGCCTGTGCAGGGCTTAGTGCTGGCTGAGCAGGTTCCCAGACCCTTCCCACTCCCCCGGCCGGACTCGGACAGGCCAGGGAACACAGACCCGTCCTGCACCAAGGTGGCGTTAGGCGAGAGGGCTGGCTGCAAGCTAGAAAGGAAGGAAAGCCGCGTGACCAGCTTTCTAAGGCGAAACAGAAGTAACTTTTTGTTTTCCTATGGCCCTGCAACTGTTTTGTGTTTCCTCCAGGGCTGACTGTGTTTTCGATAGAATCAGGTATCTTGCTAGGGACAGGAATGGGCGCCCATGCAGGTGTTTACCGAAGGCCCAGGTAGCGCGCCAGCCCCACGCTCCGTGAGCCCGCTGCGCCCGCCTCCTCGGCTCGCTGTGTCCAGCGCAGAAGCGGGGCTCCAGGGTGGCTACTCCAGGGTGGCTCCTCGCTCAGGGCCACCAGCTGTAAGCGGGTGGAGCCGAGGTTTGAGCTGGGATCTTACTCCATGCACACCTCTTTCACTCACTCACTCATTCCTTAGTTTGTTCACTCAGCAAATATTTCTTTCTCTTTACATTGTGTCTTGCTCCCCATCTTCCTCTCTGAGGGGTGCAGAGCTAGAGGGTGGAATCCTTAAATCGGGGGCTGCCTTCCTGTGTGCTCCTCCCCCTCGCCCCTCCCCCCAAGGTTCCCCCCTCCCCCCTTCTGCTAACACTGAGCTCAGCTCTCCACGGAGGATGATCTGTCACATTCCGGAGGAAGGGAACCATGACCTTCCAGAGCTTGAAAAACATCTCTGGATGAATCCCTTATCATCCAGACAGTGACAGGGACGCCCCAGGAGGGGAAGGGTCTCATCCAAGGCCAGCTTGCTCCTGGCAGAGCCTGCGCCAGAACTGGCCACAACGAGGTGTTCCTTAGGGGTGCTGGCCTTGTCTGGGGTCCGCCCTCCTGGCTCCCTGTGCTCTCCCAAGCCTGCTCAGTTCTGCGGCTCTCCGGCTCCCTCCTGCCCTGGCCCTGCCCAGGTGCCAGTGGGGCTGGAGGATTCTCTGCAAAGGCCCAAAGGGCAGGCGATGGGAACCCGAATGAGCCCTCCCTGCCCCCGAGACGGCAGACCTTTCCACCCCGCTGGAAGAGGAATTTTGCCCCCTTTGCCGGGGGCATCCCGGTGAGGCCTCACTGCACCAGCCACTCACAGGCCATTAAGTCTGATGCAGATGGGACGGTTTTTTCCTCTCCCACTGGATGAGTCAGAAACAGTCACCCACGGCAGGTGGGGCTGACAGGCCTTGGTCCTTTCGCCATCCCGGCGAAGCTGCAGAGAATCAGACCTCGGAGCAGGAAGTCGCTGGGAATGCTGAGGCCTGGGTCCAGCTCCTGTCAAGGACCACCCCTGTCTGCGATGTGAGGCTGCACCTGGCCTCCGGGTGGGGGGAGGTGGCTGCACCTCAAAATCGCTGAGGGCCAGCTGTCACCTGTGCAGGCTCACCCTGATATGCCCGGGCTGGGGGTAAGGGATGGGGATCGCGGGCAAACAGGTAAGGGATGGGGATCGCGGGCAAACACACTTTGAAAATACGCCCCACCCCAAATCAAAGACCATCCCCCTGCACCCCATCCCCTGCACCCCATCCCCTGCACCCCTCCCCCTGCACCCCACCCCCTGCACCCCTCCCCCTGCCGCCTCCCGAGGATGGGAAGCACTGAGCAAAGCCACCAGGGAGGAGACGAGGCACGCCGTCTGCTGTGGAGCTTGTGACGTCACCGTCGCGTGGCCTTTGTGTCTGTGGGGGACCCTTTGCTCGTGGCTGGGCCTGTCTGCAGACGGAGAGTTCCCTTAGGGCAGGAGCTGCGTCTCTGCTCACACCCCGTGCCCGGGGACAGGCCCTGAATCTGCAGGAGGAACAGTGGGGGAGGCTGCTCAGAACGGGGGTGTGACTGAGTCACACACGAGCCTAATTGTCTTCCCACCAGGCTGGAGTTATTTGTCCTCAGCGAGTGACCAGGAGCCCTTTCCAAGGCCCATTACGCTAATGACCTAATCAATTTATCCAGCTGTCTGCGGCAGAGGCGCTCAGAGCTCATGCCCCTCCTCTCTGTAGCCCTGCGTGCTGGCCTGGGGGTGTCGGCCTGAGCCCCACTTTTGGTGACTGGTGGGCCCCAATGCTCCAGATGGCAGGTGACTCCACAGGGCCCGAGAGAGCAGGATTCAAGGCAGGATTCTTAGGTCCCCAGACATCCTGCCCCCTCCCCGGCCCACACCAGACTCCCCTGGGCAATGTTACTGCTAAGTATTTGGCCCCCAGAGTGTGCCCAGCGCCTTTTGATTGTATCTGGTTTCCTGCTCTCCTTTGGGAGGAAGAATTTCTCTGCAGGAAGTAGTTTAATAGTCTGAAAGCCCTACTTCCCTGGTCTGGAGATCCAAGTTTCCAGTTTCAAGTGGCTGAGATCTTTGATAAGAAGGGAAGCAGGAAGGAGGGGACCAAAGCTATGAAATGTCACTGCTCCTCGGCCAAAGGGAGGGCCGGGAGCATGGAGGATTCGGTCCCGGCCACTCAAACTGCAGAACTGCAGAGAGACGCCGACCCTCCGGCCCCACACCCCTGCCCAGCACCTCAGTGACAGCGGGTGATGGGAGACAGGGACACCAGGGCAGAGGACCCTGCCCCAGTCTCAGCAGTTGACAGGATACTTTGTCACCCTGCCCTCAAACTGAGCCACGCTTAACATTTTCCAACCCACCACGTGGTTCTCTCTCGCTGCTTCTGAGTCAACACGTGTTTAAGAGTCCGGCCCGTTTGCTCAGACTCTGGCAGGGAGTTCCTTGGGATGAACATGCTCCGTTCTTCCTGCTGCGACCTCCTGGGTCTGCCCAGGGACGCAGGAGTCTTTGTAGGCGTTTACAGCGGAGGGCCTTCAGTGCCGGGAATTGGCGATGAGGCAGCCCAGACGCCAAACAGGGGAGAGCGAGGTCACCCAGAGATTAGCAAAACAGGAAGCCGCCTGGCTGCTGGAGGGCAGAGGGAGAAAACGGGGTCCCAGAGCCCCGGGGCTGGTGGAAGCAGGGCCCAGGTAGAGCCAGGGAGGAGACGTGACCATGGCCTGAGACCGTCGGGGGTAGAGATGGGGACAGCTCTCCGCCTCTTTCCAGCCCTCCAGCACTTCAGTATTTCCCACGGAGCCAACTGACCCAGGAGCCGGGGAAATGGCGTCTGCGGGGCCCGCGCCACCGAGAAACCGAGCAGGGCAGTGCGGGGAGGGGAAGCGGGGGACAGGCATGTGCATGTGTGTGTTCATGTGCGTAGTGTCGGCCTAAAACTCAGTCCCCAGCGGTGTCCAGGCAGAGCCTTCCTCTGGGCTCTAGGCGGGGAGAGGCCGCCCCTCCGTGCACAGCTGGCCTCCAGCCGGAAGTGATCTCATCCGTGAAGGGGGCCGCTCACCAGGCAAAGGAGCCATGAGGAGCTCGGGCGCTCCCGTGACTCCTGCTGGGAGTTAGTACGGGAAGGCGACACCCTTCTCCGGGCTGCAGGCTGGAAGACTCCGGGCAGGCCGTGCTGGCCAGGGGGGCCTCTGCGGGCCTCACGGTGTGCTGGGGCTCCGCTGGGGCCCGGCATGGCCGGGGACATGTTGCTGGCTGGCTGGGGGCCCGGCGGCACTGGCTCATACCTTTCATACGAGGCCCCTGTCATAGCAGCCTGTGATTCAGCGGCAGGTCCCCAGCAGCTACCAGCACAGTGGGCCATGGAGCAAGGCATGGCCGTCCTCGTCCAGGGCACTGTAATTGCCTCCGGTCTAGCCAGGCCTTTCTAATCCGGCCTCTCTAATTGAACACCCGCCATTTAATCCCTGCTCCTGCTCCCCGGGATGCACTCATGTGGCAGGTCCTCAATTAGTCATTTCTGAATAAGTGGATACGATACATGAATTGGTTCATCCTTTTTTACATGTATTTATTCATTTACTCAGCAAATAGTCACTGAGCACTGTTTTGGGGACTGAGGGTGCAGTGGTGAGCATGCAAAATAAAGACTCTGTCCTAATGGACCTTACACTATACTGGAGAGAAACAGATAGTACATCAATAAACACACACATATATATATATATAGAGAGAGAGAGAGAGAGGGAGAGAGAGAGGGGGAGAGAGAGAGAGGGAGAGAGAGGGAGTGGGAGGGAGAGAAAAGGTCAGGACGTGATAAAGCTCTCTCAGGGACACTAAACATAGCAAGAGCGTACAGAGTGTAACAGTGATGGAGACTGTTTTCCAGGGCGGTCAGGAGTCTTCTCTGGGGAGGCGCCATCTGAGCTGAGACCTGGATGGGGGTGGGGGTGGGGTGAGCCTTCCCAGGCATTTCGGGAGATGAGCAGGGAGTGGGAAGGCCCCGAGGCGGGAGGGCGCCCCACACGTGCACACACGGCGTGTCCGGTAGCATGATGTGTGGTGTTCTTGGGCGAGTGGCGTGGGGCTCGGGGTAAGGGACAGAGGTGTCAAAGAGACTCAGGGAAGGGCACCGCCTCTGCCCAGTGGCCAGGATAAAAACCTGGGCATCACCTTGACGACCCTCACTCTTACCTGGACACCCGCCTCCGTCCGTTTCACGCTGCTGTGACAGGAGAGCAGAGACGGGGTAGTTGACAATGCGCGGAAGTGTATTTGGCTCACAGCTCCGGAGGCGGGGGGCGTCCGAGACTGGGGGCGGCATCCGGTGAGGACCTTCTTGCTGCCAGGCTGCGTGACGGGGGGCATCACGTGGGCGGGGGAGAGACAGGGAAAGGGGCTGAGCCCGTCCTTTCTAAGGGCCCCGCTCCAAGACAACCGCGCTAACCCATTCTCGAGGACAGAGCCGCATGACCTGATCACCCCTTCAAGGTCCCACCTCCCAGCGCCGTTGCACTGGAGATTAGGTTTCCAGCACATGAGCTCTGGGGGACACATTCAAACCATAGCAACAGCCAAACTTAGCAGCAGGTCCTGCTGGCCCTGTTCCCAAATGCATCTCAAAGCCATATGCTTCTCCTCAATTCCACTGCCACCGACTACAGAGCCCCACCCCGTCCCCCCATCTCGCCCGCCTGGATGGTGAAACAGCCTCCGGCTGCTGTTCGTGCTCACCCCCGTCCCCTGCCGCAGCACCTTCTCCGCGCAGCAGCCGGAGCTATCTTTTAAAAACAGACATTGGGTGATGTTTTTCCTTTGCTTAAAATGGCTTCACCCTGCACTGAGAACAAAGCCCAGAGGGTTTGCAGTGGCCCTCTCAGCCCCAGGGGACCGTCCCCGGCCAGGTCGCACACTGAGCTGGCCTCTCTCTTGCCCCGGTCCTGAGGCTCCTCCGCACCAGCCCTCTCTCTGCCCCCTAGACTCACTCCGGCCTCAGCACCGTTCCCTGGTGGCACCTTCCGCCTGCAAGGCTGTGCCCCAGATCCTCGCCTCTCTGGCTCTCTGGTGATCATTTGGCTCTCAGCCCATCATCTCGTCCTCAGACAGGCCACCCTGCCCAGTCACTCGCTCTCAGGGTGTCCTGCTGAGTTCACTTGATAGGTCCTTTCATTCTCCAAAACGACCAGGTTTATCTGTTTGCGTATCTATTGCCCCGCCTCTCTGCCTATAGAATGCGCTTTCAGGGCAGCCTGTTCTCTTCTACGTTCCCGAACCTGGCACCAGAAATGTGCTCAGTGAATATGTCTAATAAACGGCAGGGAGGGTCTCACTGCCTGGTTGCCCCAGCAGGAACAGGACAGCCGCCTAGATTCTAGGTGACACATCACAGGGACAGGTCATTCTGGGGGCTCACGGAGATCTCGGCCAGACTTCGGGGGATGAGTGAGGCTCCCAGGCAAGGCCTGACGGCATCCTCAGTGCTCCGGGGTCCGGGGAGATCTCCCAGAGCAGGCGACCTGGGGCCAGGCCATAGCTCCCTTCCTCCCCTCCAGGCTTCACCCCTCCCAACCTCCGTCGTCCTCCATCTCCCGGAGTGGCAGAGCTGAGACCGGTACGGGCTTTGGACTTGGACCTATTTCAGTCTTAGGAATTCTGTAGCTGC